TTATCCTAATTTGATTTAGAAAATGAATTTGAATTGGAAAATGAATCTGAATTCGAAATGGAAACATATTGCAGTAAATACAGTAAGGTATAAAATTTAAATAAGTTTAGGATTCCTGCTTAGGCTGTTTATAGAACAAAATAAAATGGAATAGAATTAAATAGAAAATAAAGGAATGGAATAGAATAGATAAGAAAATAATAGAGTAGAATAGAAAAGAATAGTGAATAAAGAATAGAATAGAACGGATTTGAGTAGAATATCAAAGAATAAAATAGAAAAATATAGAATACTTATAGATTAGAATGATTATAGCCGTCTTCTGAAATTTGAATTTCGATTTTGAATTCAACTCAATTTGAAAATAACCAATATACAAAAGGAATCCGAATACACTAAACAAATTCTGAAAATGAATCATTCCAACATAGCGAATACAATGAAACAGAATTACCTCAACTAACTCATCCAAAATAATATACTAAACACATTTTTACTGTCATGCACATCTCTAGTCATATTTATTAATTTAGACTCCAAAAGATGACTGAGAAAGAGAACTGATGCTGTCCTAGTACATGTATCAGTTTTTATGACTTCCCTACAGTTGAATAATTGAAGCTACCCTCTGGTCTTCTCAAAGTGATTTACAGACAATTCTGAAAGAATGAAGACAGAATATAACAATTGATGGTGGAACAATTTCAGATCTTCATAAAAGTACTGTATCATACAACCAGTTCTAATGAACCTACTGGCATCCAACTGCCAAAAAGGACAGTCTCTGTGGTTTATAAAAACAGTGTACCAGTAAAAGCTTGCCTGCTCTTTTTCATCTCAACACCCATTAGGAATGTGTATAGCTTCAACACTACCAGGAGTTGTCAGAATTTTGCCCATCAGAATGGCATAAAATCAAGGCATGAAGGATTCTGTAGGCTCCTATAATTTCTACCCGATATCACTTTTTTTCTGTTTTTTTTTGTAGGTAAAGAGTTTCTTTAAATCAAACTGACATTTTTGACACAATTGTTAAAAGCTAGATAAAAGCTAAAAAAAATGTGCTCTCATATGACACTGCCTTAAATTAATATATATTTCTATAATAATTATATTTATCTATAACTATATAAGTTAAATAAACTCCTAGATGGACCCTTACTGGCTTACAGTATTTAATAAAGCAGTGCAAATATGAAAGAGTCATGACATGCTTTATCCTGCAGCAGGGATGAGGGGACCACCACAAGCGACCATGTTCATCTTGACTTCACTCAAAAGTGAAAGTACCACTCATCAGCCATACCCTTGTCCTCAAAATATTTGAGTTGGGTTTTGTTGTTGTTGTGACGATTGCGGCGTCAGACCCCAGCCCTTATCACCAAACCTGTGATCGAAGGACTAGCCAATCTAAAACCGCGCTGTCACATTCGTAACAATGCCATGTCCAGCTGCACCCTGCACAAAGATTTTCCAGCTAATAGACCACAACCTGTGTGCCGGCAGCCTGGGAGCGATTGTTACTGGGTCACGTTAATTACGCAATTAACCCTTCACAGTGCCACCACCTCCTTTTTGCACAGAGAAAGAGGAAACTTGGCAATATCAGCAATACCACTATGATATTTGAATAATTATCGGTATACCACTGTCACTGCAGGCAGAGATATACCAAAGTTTAAAACACACACACAGTAGCACTTTTCAGAGGCAGGGATCCTTAGTTTGCATTAAAGAGCTTTAGAAACAGTTCAACATTTTCAGAAAGTAAGATTTATTACTAAAAGGTCAAAAGGGTACAATAAAAACATTTACCGAAAAAGATGTAGCCAATATATATATAAACATACAAAGAGCAATAGCACAGCAAAGAGATAACAGAAAGGAATTTAGGGAGGTAAAGTACTTGCCAAACATCCTAGTTTAAGCAGATCAGGTTTCATGAGCCAAAAGGATGCCTTATCTCCCAGAGTTAGTTCCGATGGTAAAAGGAGAATCTTCAACTTCAACTCAGCTTAGCTTTTTCTAGGAACTCCACAGGGTGTCTCCCTGAAGCAGAGAACCAATCGCCTCATTTGGGGAGGGGAGCTCAGGCTATGACCAAAACCTTCCCAAATTATACTATGGCCAATAACTTTTCCTAGGTACATATAACATTCTATCCACAAGTAGATTAATACCCAGAATCATCTGCTGAACGGTTAGATATGAAATATGACATACCTGCTTGAATGGTTAAGGAGATATCATTTTCTGCTTTCCTGTATATGTCAGATAGGGGGTGTAATGTATCAGGAGATTTGTATTAGAGTGAGCCATCCGAAAATGTGCTCCATGTTTGTGTAATTATTTCCTATTTGGAGATATAAAAACTATATGGAAAACTGGGTTTTAAAATGTAAGTCTGTTTTACGACTCCCTGGAATGTCTTTTGAAGCTCAGTGAGGGCTCGGTTTATGGCTTTACGATGCCTTCTTCCAGCAAGAGTCTCGCAGACATAGGGGCACCAGCTAGTTGTGGGATTTATAAAAATGACGCCCTCCCAATGAGTTTGCTTCCTGTGATCTGCATCAAAGAGACCACATGTCACTCAACAGAGAGGGAGGGGGGATATCGGAGGAATCTGATTTGGGAGAGAGATACAAAATGGAGGGGTTTGGAGCAAAATGGATGATCACGTCCATCTCTGTGTGCATGATTGCTACAGTTGTTTTTACAGTATTTGTAGTTACTGACTTCGCTTTTTTAAACAAGAGTCAAGTTCCTCTTTAACCACTTCAAGTCCAGACACTTTAACTCCTTTCCAGTCCAGGCCAATTTTCATCTCTTTCAGCTCTTGTCACTCTTTGAGTGACAATTACTCGGTCATGCAACACTATAACCACATGACATTTTTACCATTTTTTGAAACAGCCAGAACTTTCTTTTGGTGGTATTTAATCACCACTGGGTTTTTTTTATTTTTTTTGCTATATAAATTAAAAAATACAGAACATTTTGAAAAAAAAATTTTTTTTTGCTTAACTTTTGTAATAAAATTTTGCAAATAAATAATCTTTCATCATAGAATTTAGGCCAAAATGTATTCTGCTGCATTTTCTGGGTAAAAATAAACCAAAACAGTGTATTTTAGCAGGTTGCTGGTAGCAGGTATATCTCCATTATTTAGTTTGTGTGAAAGTTATAGAGCCTACAAACTATGGGATATATATCTGAAAATTGATCAGTTGAGGCCCTAAAATGCCAGATGCTGGTATGGGGTATGGCAGTGATTAGGATGTTGGTATGGTGTAGGGCGGTGATTAGGGCTTTGGTATGGGGTATGGCAGTTATCAGGACGCTGATATAGGGTATGGCAGTGATCAGGATGCTGGCATGGTGTAGGTTGGTGATCAGGATGCTGGTATGACATATTGGGTAATCAGAATGCAGGTGTGGGGTACAGCGGTGATCAGGATGCTTTTATGGGGTATTGCAGTGATCAGGGTGCTGTTATGGTGTAGAGCAGTGATCAGGGTGCTGTTATGGTGTATAGAGCAGTGTGGATCAGGGTGCTGGTATGGTTTGCATGACAGAGATCAGGGTACTGGTATGGCATATGGCAGTGATCAGGGCACTGGTATGGCATATTGCGTTGATCAGGATGCTGGTAATGCATATGGTGGTGATCATGGCGCTGATATGGAGTATGGCGGTGATAACGACACTGGTATGGAGGTAATCAGGACATTGGTATGGTGTTTGGCAGTGTTATTGTGATCACTAGGACAGGTGACAGGTGCTGGCTGTATTTTTTAATAGGACTACACAGGGGCAGTTGTTAGGAACACTGGGGCTGGTTGGCACTGCAGTCTGTGAACTGCTGCACAGGAGCTGCCAATGTGGGCTGCTGTACGTTAGCCCATACCGCTTCCCGTGCGCAGTTTATAATCAACAAAAAAATATGTACTGTATATAAAACTAGTTTACAAAATTACACAGAAGTCCCAACAAAAACAGCATACATTCATTCTTACACAAAGCCTGTACTAAGATTTTACAGCACACAGAAAGCAATCATTGACCTCATGATGAAGCACTTGAAATCATGGTTAGTAGTAATGGAGAGCAATTTGCCTTAAGAAGATACACCTGCTAACAGCAACCTGCTAAGAATTGTTTTCAGTTCCATCTGTAAGAGGTCCAGGCATGTCCACACACAACTATGAAAACATAGTGGCCCCTTTGCTTTTATCTCTGCTATTCTCAAATTGCTGTTTTACTACGTAGGCTGTTGAGAAACTCAGGCAATAAAACAGGTTTAATGATAGAAGGACCTGATCTTTTGTTAAAAAAGAACAACTCAAATGGCTCTATAGTATTTAAAGAACCAATAAACATCAAATAAAAGAAGTTATACTGTGTACTTTATATAAAAAAAACATACTAACATTTACAAATGTATATCTAAAAGCACCCACACCAATGTAAAAATTGAATATAGATGCATGAAAGCCTATTGTTCTTCTTTAACCACTTGCCTACCAGGCACTTATACCCCCTTCTTTACCAGGCCAATTTTCAGCTTTCAGCGCTGCCGCACTTTGATTGACAATTGCGCGGTCATGCAACATTGTACCCATATGAAATTTTGATCATTTTTTTCTCACAAATAGAGCTTTCTTTTGGTGGTATTTAATCACCACTGGGTGCTTTACTTTTTGCGCTATAAATAAAAAATTGCCAAAAATTTGGAAAAATAAAAAAAAAGTTTCTTTGTTTCTATTATAAAATTTTTCAAACAGGTAATTTTTCTCCTTCACTGATGTGCGTTGATGAGGCAGCACTGATGGGCACTGATAGGCGGCACTGATGGGCACTGATAGGCAGCACTAAAGGGCACTGATAGGCAGTACTAATGAGGTGGCACGGATAGGTGGCACTGATAGGCAGCACTAATGAGGTGTCACGGATAGGCGGCACTAATATGCAGCACTGATAGGTGACACTGATGATGGGTACTGATAGACGGCACTGACTGGCATCACTGCTGGGCACTGACTGGCGGCACTGACTGGCACAACCGCTGGGCACTGACTGGTGGCACTGACTGGCAGCACTGCTGGGCTGCACTGGTGGGTGGCACTGGTGGGCAGCACTGGTGGGTGGGCACAGGTGGGTGGCACTGGTGGGCACAGGTGGGTGGGCACAGGTGGGTGGCACTGCTGGGCACAGGTAGGTGGCACTTCTGGGCACAGGTGTGTGAAATTGCAGAGTGGCACAGGTGGGTGCACTGCTGGGCACAGGTGGGTGATCTGCTGGGCACAGTGTGGCGGACCTAGTGGGCACACTGCAGGGCACAGGTGGGCGGAACTTGCGGGTGGCACTGCTGGGCACCGATCATCAGGGCACTGATCATCAGTGCCCTGATGATCGGTGCCGATCCCCGCTCTGACAACTGCCGGTTCTCGGCAGTACTTTCCTCACAATCTGACAGCGTGAGGAAAGTGCAGCCGAGAACCGGCACTTGCATTTCCCTCAGATCAGCGTGTCATTGGACACCGCTGATCAGGTGGTAAAAGGCCGCTGTGATTGGCCTTTTACCACATCACGTGATCAGCTGTGTCCGTAGGACACAGCGATCATGGAGATCGCCGGGTGCGCACCCCCTGGGGCGCGCAGGAGAGCGCATTCTGGGGGGACGTCATATGACGTCCACGCAGAACTGGCCGGCCCCAGTGCAGCCGTCATTCGGCTATCTGCGGTCGGCAACAAGTTAACCACTTCAAGTCCGGACACTTTTACCCCCTTCCTGTCCAGGCCAATTTTCAGCTTTCAGTGCTATCACAATATGAATGACAATTGCACGGTCATGCAACACTGTACCTATATGAATTTTTTAGCATTTTTTTTAGACAGATAAAGCTTTATTTTGGTAGTATTTATTCACCACTGGGATTTTTATTTTTTTGGTATGTAAATGAAAAAGTCCAAAAATTTTGAAAAAAAAATTGTTTTTCTTATAAAATTTAGCAAATAAATAATATTTCATCATAAATTTTGGCCAAAATTTATTCCGTTATCTGTTTAGTACAAAAAAAAAAATGGCCCAAATTAGTTTATAACCAAAAATTATAATTTTTAAAAATTTTTTTTATTACATTTTTATTTTATTTTTTTATATTATTATTTATGTTTTTTTTACATACTGGTGACACTGTACTACTTGTGGGGGGTGATGAAGATTTTTTTTTTTTACACTGATTGCTTTTACACCCATAAAGTCTGTAAAAGCAATAATTTTCTCCTTCTCTCTGGCTGCATTCTTGCAGCCATTGAGAACTACTGTGTGAGCTGTGATTGGTCACAGCTTGTCACATGGTACAAGGCTGTTGTGAATAGCCTTGTACCATGTGACCTCAGTGATCATTCACAGATTTCACACGTAGTAAGCAATGATGTCAGGAAGTGACATCTTGCTTACTACTCTGCATGTGATCACTGATTGGCCAATCAGTGATCACATGATTGGGACCTCACACAGAGGTCCCGTACGACGATCGGTGTTCCACTGTGTCAGGATTGCGGTGCTGCGTGCTCCCAGGGAGCGTGCACAAGCAGGAGGTGGGGAGTCCGTTTATAAACGGCCACCTGCCCCTGCACTGCCACCGTCCGGCCATTTATATACATTGGTGAGGTGGTTTTGAATAGGGTGTTAGGAAAACTATTAATATTTTATAATAACCAAAAAAAATCAGTGTAATATATTCATTGCTATGCACATGATTTTTGTGAAATGTGTTTGTTTGGGGTTCCCTCATAAATTATAAGCTCACCTTTAAAATAAAATAATAAATGCACATCTTTTTGCAGGTAAAAAATATGCATTTATTATTTTTTTTAAATTAGGAACCTGTAAAGCACTATACCTGCAATCAGCAGATCACGGGTGCAATCTCAGGCCCCTACAGACTGTCAATCTAGCTGTTTAACAGGACCTTGTACAGGCAGGCAGTTACTAAATAACAGGAAGCATCAATGATCTTTGTAGATCGCTCATCGGCACCCTGGTAGTTCATGGAGAACCAGTGGCGTCCCTAGGCGTGTGCGGGGGGGTGTGTGCCGCACCTGGTGACACCTATCGCACGGGGTGACACCGGACCCTCTCCACCAGCTCCACAAAAAGGAAAGTTTTAAAGCAAGCCAACGATCCCCGCAAGATGGATCGGATCTGCGGATTGAGCATTATGGATCGGAGTCCGGTCCGGTCCGATCCATTATGCTCCCCAATCCACAAATTCGATCCATCTTGCGGGGATCGTCGGCTTGCAACCTATATGGGGTTAACTGATCTATGTAAGGCTGTACAAGATCCGGGACTTGTCTGTAACCAGGAAATGTGGCCGCAATAGCAGGAACCTCCTCCATCTGACATCACTTCTTGAGCATGTGCAGACTGGACCGGTGTGGAAAGATCAATTAACCCTGTATAGGCTGCAAGCCAACGATCCCCGCAAGATGGATCGGATCTGCGGATTGTGGCTGACTCCGATCCATCATGCTCAATCCGCAGATCCCATCCATCCTGCAGGGATCGTCGGAGGGGTGACACCAAGTGTTACCGCACTGGGTGACACCAACCCTAGGGACGCCTCTGTGGAGAACTACAAGTCGTCAGCTGCAATGGCTGGCAGTAGTTGTAGTTCCCCCAGTCACAGAACTCTGGGAATGAATGATGTGGCTGGGTGGACAGAGGCACACACAGTCACTTTTTTTAAAATTGTAACAGGGGGCACAGAGAGAAGATGTCCGACCCGCTGTCACAACTGGGGGGGGAGGTTATCAGGGTCTGCTGCATCAGTAACATTATTATCATTTATTTATTTATGTACATGTTACATATTACATCCTGAATACGGGTGTAACATGTTATAAAAGGTGAACTTATCCTTTAAATTCCCCAATGGTACGCAGGCTGGAATCAGAACAGCAAGGGGATGCAGATTTGCTGCCTTTTTGCCATGGACACAATTTCCTCATGCTTAATGCTCTGAGCAGGTTGTGGGATGGTTGAGAGAGGTAGTCGACATGCATTTTAATTTTTATTTACAAAAAATTAACAAGCCACATTTTGCTAAATCTAGCTGTCCATGGGTAAAGTAGCTTATAGTTTATTCTATAAATATAATATTTGGGAAATGTGCAACTGTTAGGATACGTTCACACTAGCTTTGTCAGCAGGCATCAGACGGGCGTTTTTTAACGCTTCTCAAACGCCTATGAAAATTCTGCACATGGCACCACCCAGTGCTCTTCACATTGAAGCATTAGCGTCGCGTCACGGCAAAACTGACTCCTCATGTTGTGTCAGGAGGAGTTGAAGTCTCCCATTCAAGTCTATGATGATGCTCCTCAAACGCCTGGCAGGCATTTGCGAGGCGTTTGAGGAGCGTTAATACCATTAAAATTCATTATAGGCATTTATGGTGCAGTTTTAACGCTTGGCAAATGCCTATCACATGCCTCAAAAACGCGCATAGGGCATTTGGGGAGTGTTTATGGAGTGTTTGAGGAGCGCTAAAAACACTTCCCAAATGTCTGTCTAACACCTGTCAAATGCTATAGGGGCGTTCGGCAAGAGTTAGAAATGAGCCCTTAATGTGCTATAAAAACACCTGTAATTCTGCCACAGATGGTTTATAAATACCATACACTTCTGCGTTGTTGATCATCTTTTGCCACACACTGTTTTCTATAGGGTAAGCTCAGGTGATCAGACGTAACAGAACCAGGGGCGGACTGACAACTCATGGGGCCCCCGGGCAATAGAGGATCATGGGGCCCCTATGTCCTTGCCCAAACTCAAAAAAGCCTATGAAAAAGGTACCAGGGGCATCTCATGGGGCCCCCTACTGACCCCGGGCCCTTGGGCAGTGCCCAAGTTTCCAAATGTTCAGTCCGCCCCTGAACAGAACTATATGCAAAAAAAAAACACTGTAAATAAAAAGATAATATTTAAAAAATACACATAAACACCTGGTTATGCATCTGACAAGATTTCTGTGAGAACTAACATTGTTAAATATGTTTTATATTTATTTTGTCAGTCAAATAATTAATATTGCACACATACATCGTAAGTATTCCTCTGTCCAGTCAGCATTTAAAGAACTAAGGCTTCTTTTCACATACAGTACTTTCTTCTGTTTCCTATGTTGTAAAAACACCTCTTTATAGAGCTCAGTAGTTCAAGCTGTAATTCATTCACACAAGTAAGTGAATTAAAGGAGTTTTTCTTTTTTAAATATAGCAAATAAAAACAATTCCTAATAATATTTTGCATTCTGTAAAGAGTCTTCAGAGTCGTCAGGTCTATAGTAAAGCAAAGTTAACTCCAAAATAAAATGTATTTCTAATATTATTAGGAATTCACAAATAACTAGACTGATTATAAACCAACATGACTTCACATAGCACTGTTTATATGCAAAGGTATTAATACTATCTTAATATAAAATGAGTGCACACACAGACTTTGGAATTACCGGTAGATTATTTTCCTGTGCTGTATTAATAATTTAGAGTAGTACTAAATGGGAAAAAATGTCACAAATTGAAAGGAGATTATTTACTTGACAAAAGCAAGGCAAAAAGAAAATGCTACAGGCGTTTGTAATTATATGGCTCTCTAGTCTTGGAGCTGGAAATTTGCCTACAGGCTGTCCTTTACTCTCCTAATCTGTTTAGGACTGACAGATTTGGATTCAGACAACTTTATTTAACTCCTTTGCCTCTGAAAGTGTTTTTTGAAATGCCTGTTTTCCAGCCTATTCACCTGGGCTGATTCATTGGAATCATTTGATCATTCTTTCACTTAACAACCTCAGTGCTAAAAAAAATTCAAAATATCTAAACTAAATTGGCTTTGGGTATTTATTGGAAGGGAATGATCATACAAAGAACAGTTCTTTTTAAAGTGGAGTTCCAGCCCCCCCCAACATCTCCCCCAAAAAATGATCAGTTATCCTTCCTCCAGCCTTGCTAGTAGGCAGTGCCCATACTGACTTTACATCTGTTCAGTCAATTGCCCTGTACCTCAATCTACAGTGTATAGCGCATTACCATTACACTGTGTGCAGGGGTGGCCAGCTTTCATCAAGCGTGCCGACGACACAGTGACCCCAATGCAGCCAGTATCCATATTGAGGGTTGTATATACGTAATTCCTTAATTAATTTTTTTACTGTTTCACACTGTTTTAATTTGCAGAGGGAGCCTAGGCCTAGCCCACCCACCATTGGTACACCCAGACATCTTAGCTCTTAACTTTTCCTACATTAACCATCTGTTGTCTGTTGTCATACACTTGTGGGAAAGCTACAGTTTATGTTCAAAAATTCACTTCTAATTATTGATACATTTTGTCAGTGAAATGCACATGTTACTACATACTGTACCGTTAGGTACACCTACCTCTTAAGAAATAATATATGCTGTTACCTACTGTATAGCCTCAAATTTGATTACTTGA